TTTAGAGTGTTCAGTGTGGACAATTATGTCATATGTGAACAGAGATCATTGTATTGCTACCTGTTTAATTGTATGCCTTTTATTTTTCTTATCTAATTGTTCTGGCTAGGATTCCACTACTGTGTTGAATAGAAATAGCACCTGGGCTTTCTTGTCTCTTTCCTGCTCTCACAGGAAAAGCTTTCAGTCTTTCAACAGTGAATATGACACTTTCTGTAAGCTTTTTAAATGTGACCTTTATTGTTTTCATATAGATTTTTCTTTTAATTATTTTTAATTGACATGTAATAATTGTACGTATATATGTGGTACCATGTTTTATTTTGATACATGTATAATGACCAAATCAGAGTAATTAGCATATTCATTACCTTAAACATGTATTGTTTCTTTGGGGATGTTTAACATCCTCCTTTCTAGCTACTTGAAAATGTACAATAAATTGTTGTTTACTATAGTCACCCTATAGTGCTACAGAGCACTAGAACTTATTCCTCCTATCTAGCTGTAACTTTGTATTTGAAAACCAATCTTCACTACCCTCCCATCCCTTCCTACCCTTCCCAGCCTCTAGTAACCACAATTCTACTCTCTTCATCTATGAGATAAACTTTTTTAGCTTCCACACAAGTAAGAACATGAGATATTTCTCTTTCTGTGCCTGGCTTGTTTCACTTAACATAGTGTCTTTCAAGCTTATCCGTATTGCTGTGATGCATTTGTATAGTCTCTGTACAGCTTCTTTAGTGGCAGACAACATCAGTGCGATCTGAGTTTAAGTGACTTAGGCTGTAGAAATTTGTGGCAGCACCATTGGTAGTGGAGGTTCTTAAGGTCCTCTGTGGCAAGAGCTTTTGGGGTTCTCATGTCCTCCTTGTCCTCAAAATGGGAAGACAATACAGGGGATCCCTGTTGGCATCAGGTTTGACATGGCCTACAAACAGGTTCACGGTGCCTGGGTTCCAGGTGCCAGGTGCTCAGAATGGCTATGAAGCTGGGGCCCTGAATGCTCAGGGTCTAACAACCCTATTGTGGCACCTGGGTTCTGGGGTCAGATTCACTTTCTGTGTCAAGGGTTGATGGGGATTGGCCTCAAAGTCACAGTCTGTGATGCTGAGGCACCCTCTCGCAGCTTGGGATCAGGGGGCCATTTTGTCACTGTGATTCTCACCTTGGAGTGCAGGACACAGCATTGGCCTGGCTTTCAGGAAAAGGGGATGTGCTGGAGGTTTGGACTCAAGGAGCAGGGTACAGCTGCAGCATGGTAGCAAGAAGCAATAGGGCTCGGTGGCAACTCAGATCCCAGGGAATGAGGCATCATATAGTGGTGACTCTGTACTATGGAATGTTGGCTGTCCCCAGTATCCAAGAGTCTGAGAGGCTGGATTCAGTGGCAGAAAGGACCCCAGATTTGTGGAAACAGCTTTCTTTGGACCTTGGTGGGCAGAAAGCAGCGTAGTGATGACTCTGTTTCCTGTGGAGAGGGATGTCCCTGCAGCTCAGAATCTAGTGGTCTAGTCCAGCTCCAGGGAAGCAGGGACTACTAGGACAGCAAAACTCAGCTCTTCTGTCTCTCTTGAGATATTTCTTTCTGTGCTCCTTGTATTTGCTGTCATCTGTTTTCTGTACTACCTGGTAAGCAGTCATGCTTAAGGACATGTTTGAGTCTGTAGCCAAGGAACCAATCCTGTTTGTTACATTTTGTGTAAATTGCTATGAGATACATGAACTCTGTGGACCTGCTGCGTTTTTAAAAAATAATAATGATGGGCCGGCCCCATGGCGCACTTGGGAGAGTGCGGCGCTGGGAGCGCAGCAGCGCTCCCGCCGCAGGTTCGGATCCTATATAGGGATGGCTGGTGCGCTCACTGGCTGAGCGCAGTGCGGGCGACACCAAGCAAAGGGTTGCAATCCCCTTACCGGTCACAAAAAGGACAAAAATAAATAAATAAAAATAAAATAATAATGATAATTTATCTGAAGGTTTTTTTTTTTTTTATAAATTAGTGCTGTTAGATATCTAAGAATATTGCAAGTTTCATTGTAAAGGTACAAAAGTTTCTTTGTTTAGTAAGATTTACCAGCATTTTGTAATGTTTACAATGAGATGTTTCTGTTAATTCTTAGTCATGTCCACCTGCCACCAAAAATACCACAGACTGGAGACTTAAATCACAGAAAATGATTTCTCAGAAATGTGGAGGCTGGGAAGTTCAAGGTTGAAGTGACAGTTGAATTGAGTCCTGGTGATTGCCCTATTCCTGGTTAATCCCAGCCATCTTCTTGCTGTGTCTTGACATGGGGGAAAGAGTGAGAAGCAAGCAAGATGTCTGGTACCTTTTCTTAAAATGACACTAGTCTATTTATGAGGTCTCCATCCTCATGTGTTAATTATCTTCCAAAGACCCCACCTCTAATAACATTTTATTGGGCAATAGGACCTCAGCGGATGAAGTTTGGGTGATAAGACCTCCAGACCACTGTTGCAGTCCGTTTTGTGTTGCTGTAACAGAAATACCTGAGGCCGGGTAATTTATAAAGGGAAGAGGTTTATTTGGCTTACGATTCTGGGACAGCTGCATCTGCTATGGGCCTTAGGCTGCTTGTACTCATGATGGAAAGTGGTAGGGAGCCAGTGGGTACAAGCAGATCACATGGTGAGAAGAAGCAAGAGAGAGAGAGAGAAGGTGCCAGCGTCTTTTTAAGCAATGAGCTCTCGTGGGAACTAATAGAGCAAGAAGTCACTCATTAATACCCCCTCCCCCAGGGAGAGCATTAATCCGTTCTTGAGGGATCCGCCCCCATGATTCAATCAGTTTCCAACACTGCCACATTGTAGATCAAATTTCCACATGAGTTTGGAGGGGAAAACACATCCAAACTCCATCAACCACAGAACCTGCATTGTTGTGTGGGTTTTTTTTTTTTTTCCAGTTTGTTTCAGTGTTTTCTCTGACCTTAGTTAATTTTCTAAGTATGAATTCTATTACATATATGTTGTGCCAATGAACTAGTTAATAAATGGGCAATTCCTATACAGGGAATTGTCCTATTGATTAGCTATTACATAACTACAGGCCAGCAATCATAATTGCCAGTTCTAACTTTGTTCCACAGTCATTATTTATTATGTTATCTATTTACCTGATCTGATACATCAGAAGCCTTTGATATTAACTTAAGTTTTAGTTTTCACATCTATACTGGTTTTGAAACAGAGTTCTTCCTTTTTAAAGAAGGAATTGTTTAGAAGTCACACAGACAATAATGTTGTATTAAAGTAGTTACTAATTAATTGATTCCTGGTTTTATCATGGGATACTACAATGTATTCTTAATCTCTATTATAATATACAGGTGATGGATTTCACCATGTAGTACACAATGTAACTGACATGCGACACTTGTTAATCTAACAAATTTCATATCATCTGTCGGTATAGTAATTTTATAACATATTCAGACAAGTACTATATTTTTATGACATTGTTTTACTTTGTCCCCATTTTCTGTGTACTGTTACAGTTTTGCTCTTTCGAATTGCCATTTATGTACATTATTCATTGTATCAGTTTTCTGTCCATTATTCACCATTAAAATATAGGGTGCTGTGCTTTTGCATTTGTTCACAATAAATATTCTGTAAATATGTGTAATGTAATGTTTTTTTTTTTTTCAATTAGGAGACAGGCATATATTTTCAGCCAATTGGTTGTGTTTTGGCTTCATGATAGGAAAATACTTATGCAATGCTAACAGGTTT